ATATACCATGCGCGTGTCAAGAAGACCTTGAATATGGGTAGATCTGAGGTGTTTTAGTCTCTGATTTCCTTTGATTTTTCTTCGTCAGTGGGCCAGGCTAACTGCAAGAGTCGCCGGTAATAGACCGTCGGCGGCAGTCATATCATGTGCCATGCATACCGTTATATTAGACAACCGCGGTTATACTGTAAACATGCTGACATGCGGTCTTATCTAATCTCAGCTGCAGTAAGAATCTTAAATGGCGGAGATTCAGAAATGCTTCAAAAAACAAAATGCGGGATGTCCATCCAAGTGCATATATTTTAAGAAAATAGGTATGGCAAAGAAGACATTAGGCCAAACGTTGCACTAATAGCTCGGGAAAGGTAAAATGACTCCCAAATTTCTTCAATGATCTTTATTGAACCTTTAAAGCAATTTCACCAAAATTGATACGCCTTAATTCACCAGCTTGTTGACATACTCATATGGGATTATTTCATAAATTTACGAAAAATTGAATTCATGTCAGCTGCCACCAAACTACTGGCAATTGATATGAATATTTGCCTTAATTGCATAAAATGTTATTATGACGGTCATTAAAATTGCTAGTGAATGTTTGAGATGGAGAATATATACTAAAATTATCATTTACTCCAATTGTTGTTCTACTTTGGGAAATACTAGTATTCAACAAAGCAAGCCAAAACAATTCATGTTTGCAATTATAGACAAGGCATTAACATGACAAAATGTCACCACCAAGTTGCTCACAATAATTTTAGCTCAATCGTAAGTCAGATTTGAATTTCTGAGAACTTGTAGATGATTTTGAAAAATGGTCAATTTGAAGCAAGTTGAAGCAATTTGAAGCAAGTTGAAAAAACTTTTTGACCTTTGTTAACCTTGAAAAGGTCACTGAAGGTCAAATCTTAAATATAAATCAGATTTGAACTTTTGAAATCTAGTAGATGATTTTGAACTAAAGTCAGTCTAAACAGTATTTTTTAAATTATTGGAAGTTTTAAAGATTTGTTACAGATCCACCAACTGCCTCACCAACCACCGTCACAAAAAACAGAGACCATAACAATATACCATCACTCTTTGGTGGTGACATAATATTCTAGAAGATGAGTCTGTGTAGTAGATCATTTAGAGTCGGGGACAGGTCAAGGTTACAGTTAGGCAAGGGTTAGGGATAGGTCATGGTTAGGTTTTAGGATTAGGCTAGGGTTAGAGTCAGGGTTAAGGTTAGGATTAGGCTTAGGTTAGGTAAGAGTCAGGGCTAGGGTTAGGTCAGGGCCAACAAGGCATTAACATGACAAAATGTCACCACCTTGTTGCTCACAATATTATTGTAGATGATTTTGAAAAAATGCTCAATTTGAAGCAAGTTGAAAAAATACCTTTTTTGACCTTTATGACCTTGAGAAGGCCAATGAAGGTCAAATCTAAAGTCAGATTTGAACTCCTGTTAACTTGCAGATGATTTTGAAAAAAACTTGTCAATTTGAAGCAAGTTGAAAAAATACCTTTTTGATTTTTTTGACCTTGAAAAGGTCACTAGAGGTCAAATCTTGATTTTGAACAAAACAGTATTTGTTAAGTTATTGGAAGTTTTGTTACATTACAATTTGTTACAGACATTAACCGCCAACCACCGATCACCAATCACAGAAAAACAGAGACCACAACAATATGTCACCACTTTTTGGTGGTGACATAATATTTTAGCCTTGATTTTAGGTCAACCCAGTTTCCAATGCTATGAAATAAGTAATAAATCCAAAGAAAACAATAGAAATAGTTGAAAATATGACTTAAAACTTTCAAAAACTGGTCTCTAGAATGAGAACATAACTAAATGCAATAAAAAAAGAGTTTTCCCATATAATATAAATAAATGATCTGTCTTTTCGGGAAAATTGAGATTTTATTCATCTTAACACTCCAGCGGAGGGATCAATTGGTTGTATGTCCTCATAAAATGAGAATTTATAAGTGTGACTGGTGATGAAACAAATATTTGGACACTTTTGATTGGTTCCAGTAGAAATCTTAATGCATGACACACCACACAGTAACAGGACAAAAAAATAAGCATTTGTATCCAAGGTGTGATAATCCTAAAATCTTAATGCATGACACACCACACAGTAACAGGACAAAAAAATAAGCATTTGTATCCAAGGTGTGATATAATCAACTTGGAAGTCAAAGAAGGCAATTTATGCCACAAAACTACTCAGAGCTGACACATAACCCTCATAAATATATGCCTAACCAGATAAACACTTTGAAAGCACTCATTAATTCTGGTTATGGCCCACAAGTGTGTGTTTAGCTCCACTTTTTATAAGCATATTGTTTCCTAATATGTCAAAAAAGAAGATATTTCTATCTAGAGGCATTAAGGGTTGTTTGAAGTGAGAATTAAAAGCATAATATAAATAAATTATTGTAAATGGCTTCCGGTGGTTGTTCAACAGAGTTACAGTGACCAAGAATTCACTTCTGCATCCCCTCTTTGGAAAAAGTTTTCTTGGACTTCACATCGGACAGACCTAAAGGTAACATGAACATTTCTCTGGAGGGTTGTAGTTTTCACAAAAATCAAACAGTCTGAATTCAAAGCATGAAGAGGTTTACAGACTTTTACATGAAAGATCCGAATCTAATTTTATCTATTGGGCTCTAACGGAAATCTTCAACAGCATCTTAACCTTTAGCGTGCTGCCGGCGAACGCGTCCGCCGAGACTAAAATGTCTCTCACAACTGCCGGCGGACCCGTACGCCCAATTTCAAACTTTTAAAAACTTTATTTTTTCGCGCCATTCGTATTGTCCAATTAGATTGCCCGATTTATTCAGTGCCTAACATGACTTCCTGTTGACCTAAAAATGGCGATATTTCGAAAAATAATTCTCAATTCAACAATTTAAACAGTGTTTTAGTCGTTTTAAGTGAACAAATCGTACAAAATGGCGGACAAATACGATCACAACGAAAATGTGGAGGAAATGGACTACGATTTCGAGCTCTTTAGGCTCTTGGAAGCCGATAATGGTCATCGAAAATAGAAACTAGAATATTTTCTGAATTGAAAAATTGAACATTCGATCGTTGCAAATTCAGATTTGAATTCTGACCAGACGAAGGGGCAGAGCGGCGGATTTCGGAGGAGTATTCACACGCCCGGTGATCGTGAATATGGGACGGAGGGGGGTCCCCTCCCCCCCTCCGTCCCAAATTCATTATTTTCGATTATTTTTTATTTCACATATGGAAACTTATTTTATAAATTCAGCAATGACATTAATTTAGTTATGATAACATCACTTACAAGTATTTATTACAGGTCGTCCAGACCATTGTTGCTTGATTTATAGCAAAAACGTTGATTTGTGCCTGTTGATGGCCTTGCGCCTTTTTTAATAGATCTCATACCTTAGATGCGTAGCGTTTCAGAAAAATCCCTGAAAACCTAACATATTCTACCATACCGTGCGCCTATCCATTTAGCAATTCAATAGTAAACTTTTTCTTGAAAAAATAAATCTTCCAGATTTGTTGAATTTCCTAGCAGAAATTGCCTGCTCCCCCCTCCGTCCCATATTCACGATCACCGGGCGTGTTCATGGTATATTTATGCCCAGTCATGTTATTGTACGAAAAATATTCATAAGATCATTTTTTTCATGAGCCAGGCCACTGTGTCTTCCCTTTGTGAAAATTTTATCCAGATTCATTCAGTAGTTATTGAGATATTAATTATTTAGTCCAGGCATATCATTTTTTGCACTCTTTGAAAAAGAAGCCAGATGCGTGGGATATATTTGCTGAAATAAGGCAGCATGGTAAAGGTTAAATGTTAGCCTTGTCCAAGTCGGTCTCTTTTACTTATCTTGATTTCTATTATGACCGCCTTGTACCAAAGAGAAAGCCATGTGCTTTACCAACAGTTTGTTGATGTCGGTAAAATTTGACCAATCAACGACGGCCCTGTAGCGTTAGCTCATTATTATGCACGGTCAAAAACAAGTACCCTTTTCACTGGGACTTTTCACGAACAAATCTTGCACGAATTCATCATGTAAATACAAATATTTTATCAGATAAATATCAATCAGAGTTTAGTGGATGCCGGAGCATCGATTGGATAACCGGAGGTGATAAGATTTCAACAATAAACGTTGAAACGATCGCTGAATTCAACTGATCGAACATGTAGGCTGAGATTGAATCACTGATCGACGACTGCATGACCCACTACATTTTCATCGAGCATTTTCATCGCGAAATCAGTTTTAAATCAGATTTAATTTATATTAATGACTCTTATATTCCAATGTACATTTAATTACATATATTCATGAATGATATTGCAACCTCTAAAGAAACATTTAATCAGATCATTGAATTTCTAGTCGTAGACAAGTTTGCTTTGTTTGTACAGCTCAACCTGATAACGTTTTGATTGGTCAATCAGCCTGAAGTCACACGTCGTGTCGTCCACGCAATCTGTCAATCAATAAGGTTTCGCGATACCCATGATAGCGTAGGTATTATGGAAATCTCGAAAAACAGATTTGAATTGCAAAAAGACCTTTTTTGACCTTAAGAATGTCACAAAAGGTCAAATCTATAGTCAGTTTTGAAAAAAAATTGGTCAATTTGAAGCAAGTTGAAAAAAGGCCTTTTTAACCTTTTTTGACATTGGGAAGCTAAATGAAGGTCAAATCTCAAATTGAGCTTGAAAGGGTCATTAAAGGTCATCAAATTTGAACTTCTGAAAACTTGTAGATAATTTAAATAAAATTGAAGTCAGTCTAAACAGTATATGATAAGTTATTGGAAGTTGTAAGAATTTGTTACACTGACGCCAACCACCAACCGCAATCACTTTTTGGTGGTGACATAATAATAAAACAAATATTGAATAATGTGATCATTGGATATCTGTACAGTATATATTCCTTGAGGGATATTTGTATAAGATAGTTCTTCTTACCTGAGAAAGATGCATCATATTTCTCTAGTTCAGCATCTCTCTCCTGAAGTAGTCGCAGGTTATATTTAAAATCCTCTTTCAGTTTCTGGAACTTTTCCCTTTCCTCATTCAACTTTTTTTCTTTTTCCTTGTAAGCTGATTCTAATGTACTTGACCTGAAAATACATTAAATGTTTTGTTTTACTGACATGATAAGAGATACGATTTTGAAATTAAAAACTATGGTTGAATTAAGCAAACATCTTAGAATAAGGTAACTATGGTTATTAAATTTTTTGATTAAGGAAAAACTGAAGAGGTTTTTACTGATATGACAGTCAAAGTGATTTTGAATAAGGAAAATATAATTACTTATTTTCTGTTCCAGATCATGAAACATATCAAATACACTTGGTCGGTAAAGATTAGGAGTGTGATTCAAAAAATGACCCATGAAAAATCAAACCAGGATTTATCAATTTGCAAATGCACAAACCCACCTGCTAAATATCTTGTTATAACAGTGAACCATGATGAGATATCATGATACTGATATCAAATAAAGGACCTACGGTCCTGTGCTCACACAGTGTAGAACCATCAGAGGAATGTATATCCTGATTTTCAAACAAAATTATTGATTTGGATTTGTAGTCTCGAACTTTGAGAAACTTAGATAGCACAGTTGTGTGACCTAGATTGATGACATTTGACCTTGAAAATTTTACTTATTCAGAGCTCAGTAACGTCTTTTGTGATTAAGCTGACCAAAATTTACATCCAAAAATCAATTTGAAAAATCAACTTTTTTGACCTCTCGAAGGTCACTGAAGGTCAAGTAAAGGTCAAATCCTTCAACTAATGTCAGATTCGAACCTATCCTGGTAACTTGAAGATGATTTTCAAAAAAAAATTGGTCAAATTGAAGCAAGTTGAAAAATAACTTATTTTTACTGTTTTTGACGTCAAATATCTCAAAAACGGTAAAAATTTGATGCTGACATATGCAATATGTAGGGAATGCTTAAATCTAGTAATGATGTAATTCATTGCAAGAAATGATCAAGTATAAGGCAAACTTTCAGAAACTTGTCAATGAATCACAAAACCTGCCATTGACTTTATACATGAGAAAGTTTCCTGAAAATGACTAAGTCCTACTTTTTGTCTAATTTTATGGAGTAAACACCAAAAACTGTAATTCCAAGAGCTTTGAAATGTTCAGAGGACATAAGTTGCATATACAGCAACTACTATAAGTTATTTGAAAGTTCTACTCCAACAAAGTGTCTAGTATTTACAGAAAATTTCACTTTTTGACGTCAAAATCAGCAATTTCTCGGAAACCGGGCAAACTTGGAAAATGGCGATGATAGGTCAAATAGGCCTATAGGATATGAATAAAATGAATGTGGATATAACTCAATCTGAATAGCAGTTTTAATTTGTGCAGCCAATGTTGATGGACGGACGGACCAATGGACGGACCAACGGATGGATGGACGCCATAGGCTAAAATAAAATTAGGGGTGAGTCAGGTGACCCTCAGGTCAGGCTTGCTCGGCACGGGCCAAATTGCTTCGAGCCACAGGTCAGGCCAGACTTTAATGTTAGTTTTGTTGTTGGTGTATACAAGTACAATTGAAGAAATAGATAAACAATAAGTGTAGTTAGTTAGCCCCTCTGCAACAATTAGTGCAAAGAGGCCATTCAACGATCATGGACCAGTTTGGAGATTTCATCCAGACAAACATATATTTTTTATTATCTACAAAGAAATCTCCTGGATGATCATTATTCCAGCTGATATTACTCTTAAAACGTGATAGATCTTAAAAATCTAAAAGTGAACTGAATTTGCACTTCTTAATGCTGAAATTAATAGTTTATCCATACATTTTAAGAAAATAGGTGTGCCCCGTAAGGCTATTACCTGCAGGAACTCGGGCTACGGGCCGCCCAACCCACTCCTACAAAAATGTTACAATATTTTCAAAGCTTTGGCTGGAGTATGTAAAACCACCATTAAAATGCCCTAAAAACCTATTAGTCTAGAATAGGTATGTATAAAATAAAATGACATCTTACATTTTGACGAGCACCTTAACCATAGTTATCAAATGAAAGGTTAAGGGTTTCCTTATTGATACTGAGATTTGCCAAGATGAAAAAGGTGTCGAAGTGACTTTTTGGGTAAAAAAATGTGTTTTTTGCCAAAAAATTTTAAATTGATAAAAAAATATTTTTGAAAACTTATTATATAAAATACAGTCTAGTTGACTCTCAAAAGTCAAAATATACCATGTTTAATCAACTAAGGGGATTTTGGGAGCTTAATAATTTTTTCTCTGTGATTTGCATGCAATATCAACTAAAACGAGTGTGTTCAAAATATGATGACAACGTTAACACATTTTGACGAGCAGCTTAACCATGGTTAATAATTGAAAGGTAAAGGGTTCCTTTATTGATACTGAGATTTGCCAAGATGAAATAGGTGTCAAAGTGAGTTTTTGGGTTAAAAATGTGTTTTTTACAAAAAAATTGAATTGATAAAAAAATAGTTTTGCAAATCTATTATATAAAATACAGTCTAGTTGACTCTCAAAAGTCGAAATATACCATGTTTAATCAACTAGGGGGATTTTGGGAGCTTAATAATTTTTTCTTTGTGATTTGAATGCAATATCGACTAAAACGAGTGTGTTCAAAACATGATGACACCATTAACATATTTTGACGAGCAGCTTAATCATGGTATATAATTGAAGGGTAAAGGGTCCCTTTGTTGATACTGAGATTTGCCAAGATGAAATAGGTGTCGAAGTAAGTTTTTGGGTAAAAAATGTGTTCTTTGCAAAAATAATTTTATGTTAAAAAGAACATTTTTAGAAAAATTATTATATGAAATACAGTCTATAGTTGACTCAAAAAAGTCGAAATATACCATGTTTAATCAAGGGTTCCTTTATTGATACTGAGATTTACCAAGATCAAATAGGTGTCAAAATGTGTTTTGGGTGAAATGCGTTTTTACAAGAGAAATTCAAAAATATAAAATCTATATATTTTTTTAAATTAAATTTGAACAAATATAGTCCGGTTGATTATGAGAACAACTATTTGTTATAAATTTTGAGAGATTTTCGAAGCTGTTTGAAGTATTGTCTTAATTGTGGTTTGTATCTTACGAATTCAAAAGCACTTGAATTAACGTTACTGCAAGAAGTTAAGGGGGTTGCGGTTGGTGCGATCTCAACCCCACCCAAAAAATACAACCAAAAAAGAGATGAGAGGTTTAGAATGCTTTTAGCGTTTCTAGCTCAATTTTGAAGGAGGTTGCACCAATTTTCAAAATACTACTATCGCAGCCCCCCCCCCCCCCCTCAGCTGGTTGAAAGCGGGCTACGGCCCTGCTATGTATACCCTTTGTTTTATGTATATTCCAGTTCATACGTAAGTTAATGAAAACACCATATAATTATCTGTGATGTAGCAAATATCTACAATGAATATTTTAATGTATCCTTTATTACAAGAAGATACTAGCTCAATGAAGTTTGTAAAAATTGATCATAAATAGGAAATCCTTCGATACAAAAATATCTTTGAAATACTTCTCTCAATCAAACTATCACTAACACTGAAAGCATCACCATTAACAATGTTAATTGTTGATTCAAATAGTATTAAATGTTAACAATTAGCAAAGATTTGAACTGCATCGATCTGTTATCATATTTGCACCCAACAGTACATTTGATCCTAGACACTGGGCTCAATTGCACTGACCAATAAGCTTTGCAATCCATTGTGCAGTGCTCAGGTGCAGTGTATGTCTGGTATGAATGTAGAACTCATGATTAATACAAGTACATTTGACATATATTTTAATGTGATTTTCACCTTCATCTTCTATTTCATAATCATTCTCATTTATTTATTGACTGTAATTTCATTGGTACCATCAATTTTAAATGTCAAGCATGTTACGAAAACTCTTTGTTACAGTCTTAGCACACAAGTCAAGACCAAGACCAAGTATCCTCTTAGCTTGGTACATCAAAATATCCCTTCTTAATTGCACTGTTGTGTGTCTAGCTCAGGCTATGTGTGAGAAGATGTTTACTCAAGTAGAGGGGGGAGGGGTCACAGAGGCTTGAAGCTAGACTACCTTATTTAACACATAATACAACGTGACTTGATTATGGGTTACTTACAGTATAGTAAAATAACCATTTGGTATATCAAATAAGCATGTACTTTTATGTGATAACAGACTTATAAATACAGTAGCTCTCTTATGAGAGAATCTGAGGACCAGACAATGCTGCAATGCTGTAGTGTGATTCTGATTCTTGGTTTACTAGTTGGTTTACTACTGTAATCTATGGATTTTTCAAAACACTGGCACATGTCCAGCATGAAACAATTGACACATTGACCATAGCTGTTTTGGCATTTATGTGGTAACTGGTTGTATTGATTGAACTAGTTAAGAAATGAGGAATGCTATACTAATTAATCGTCTAATTAGTGCCTTTCGACACCTCATTCACTTTGGCAAATCTCACAAATCGTTTGTAAGATATAAAGGATTATTTTGATACAGGTCTCCAGGGTGCTCGCCAAAATGTAAGAACTCTCTCTTTCTAGAGGTTTTTATTTCGAAAATATTCTAGACTGTACTATACCACCCTATGCAGACAGAGCCTGTGGGAAATATTGGGTGCGGAGCTACGTTTATGGAGCTGCTCCGCACCCAATATTTAGAGGGGGCTCATATCTGAAGAACATTTCCGAATTTTTATAAAATCACACAGATACTGCCTGGCTTCCAAGATGCAAAAATAATTTGTATAGATAGTGTACCTTGAACACCATTTTTTATGAATGCTGGGGACTCAGTATTAAAAGGATAATTTCAAAATATATAGGTCTGGGAAAGGTTTAAGGCACACTGCGTCGATATAGAATGAATTGCGCTACTATTTTCACAATTGTATTGATATTTGGTGTCAAATACACATATCTTGGTATATTTGAAGTCCCAAAACGGCTTAGTTCCAGAAATATCCCAAATTTAAATTCAAAAATGACCGTTAGCTCCGCACCCTCTGCTCATTTGCTCCCCACCCAATATTTCCCACAGGCTCTGTCTGCATAGGGTGTACAG